GCAGTTTCGTTAAAAATCGGCCTAAGACATAAAATGTGGGACAGAAGAGGAATAGGGACTTAATTCCCTTATGGGAGCTTAGGATTGTCTGAAATACAGCCCTCCCTTCCTTCCTATGTGGGAAACATTTGGGCAACTCATATGTAATGTTGAGTTATTTACTTAGCGCTGGGCTAGGTATTGCAGGGCATCAAAAGAGGAGTAAGAAGCTGTTAAGGACCTTGTAAACAACAGGAATACACATGTGTAACAAAAAGCAGAATGTGAATGCCATAGGAGACGTACAAAGGAGGTATGATCGGGAAAGGCTTCCTGGCTTCATTCAGGTGGACCTTAAATTAGTATGGAAGGCTGAACAGGACATCTAGGCAGAGAAAAAACACAACCAGAGGTGGAAAGTTTAGGAAGGAGCCTTTTTGAGGACTAGCAGATAGTCAGGTTTTGCTGAAGCTAGGGTGTGTTTTGGGGATGATGGAACGTAGAGTTAGAAGGAGACCACATTAGGAGATTCTGAAGAAGAGGCAGTTTCATATTTCAGTAGGCAGTGGAGACTCACTGATAGTTTCTGACTTTGAGTGAGGAAGAGAGAGATGCCGGGGAAGGAGACTTGAGCAATGGTCCAGAATGGATCCTGGGCAGCAGCACCCAAACCAGGGTGACAACAGTGGAATAGAAAAGGAGGGGCTGTGTTATTGATGGGCTGCTTGGTAGCCACAATGTGAGGTTCTTTGTGGGACAGTATTTAATTGAAGCTCGATTATTAAGGCTGGGTGGAGAGCTTTAAACTAATTGTGAAGGTAATAAGGAGTTGTAGATTTAAAGGAAATGACTCATAAAAGCAGTGCTTTAGATCACTGCATCTGGAAGTAGAGGGAAGAAGCTGGAGACTAATTTGGAGACTGATTCTATAGTGTGTAGAGGAAGTGGTGAGGAACTAGGCCATGGAACTCAAATGTGGATGTGGGCGATACAAGGGGAAGGGTCATTTTGCCCCCCCCAGGAGGCGTTTGGAGACATTTTCGGTTGTCATAATTGGGGGGAGGGAGCAGTTCCACTGGCATCTAGCGAGTGGAGTTGAGAGATGCTTCTAAAGAGCCTACAGTGCACAGGACAGCCCCTGCCACAAAGATTTGTCTGGCCCCAAGTGCCGAGATTAAGAAAATCTGATCTGCACTCTGGGGGTGGCTGTGGGACAGAAAATGACGCTGAAGGTACAGTAGAGGTTATGAAGGTAGGCCTGGTGGGCCTGAGTTACCTAGTGATTTCTTTTTTTTTTTAATCTGGTGATATTTAGATGAGAGAAGAATAGGGCAAGGGTTATTCTCTGTGGACACCACTCACATTAGAGAGGGGGCAGGAAGAGGACCTGAGTTTTAAAGAGATAATGATGAGTTTGATTTCTGGCATTTTGAGCTGACAATGCAAATCTCCAGGAGATAGTTGGAAACGTGTGACTTGTCTGCCCTGAGTGCTGGTTCTTATAGTGAAATTCAGGTGTTTGGGGTCTCTTCTCTGCATTTCTCACCTAAGTATCTTGGGAGTAGCGGACAGGCAGCTTCTTACACTGTAGGCATGCATCTACACATCAGGGCTTTGATTGATGTAGTTTTCAGCGTTTGTTAATAAAAGTCATGAGAAGGCTGAGTCATCTGGGGAAATGAGCATAGAGAACAAAGAACAGAGGGCCAGAGCTGAAGGAGGAAGGCTCTGGCATTTATTGAGTGCCTATTATGCTCTTTGACTGGACAGATCATTTTCATGCAAGAACTCATTTAATCCTTGCAGCAACCCTGTGAAGTGAGTATTATTCTTCTTTAACTAGGAACTTGATGGGCAGAGAAGTTAAATGACTAGTTGGTGAAAAGAGTACCTCTCCTTTACTGTTCTTCCCTGCCACCTCTCAGCTCTGTCTTACTTTCACTTGTCATGTGATTGGTTTGCCCATAGTTCTTAGGAAGAGCGGAGTTTTTAAATTACTTGATTTTGAGTTGTACATGGATTTCTTCCTTTGCAAAGTAAATCATTTGATGTATGATCATGTCTGGAAACAGCCACTTAAGAGAAATAAGAAGATTCCTGTAGTTGGTATCCTGGACTTTACATTACTGCAACTGTCAAATATCTTAAGGTATGTTCATAACATTGGTTTTGGAATAGCAGAGTAAAACCTGTTCTGAGTTTAAGGGTTTGTTTTTGGGAGACAGTGTGTTAATAGACAAAGCGAATGAGCTAAAGCTTTATAGAATTAGGTTCCACACCGGAGAGGAACAGGACTGGGGGAGCAAAATCAGGCTCATAGGATTTAATCATGATGAATTGTGCTGTTTGCTGGGGAAGAAAATATTCAGCGGCTTAAAAATAAATCTTTTCCAGAATTATTTTATCTCCTAAACATTAGGGAAGGTATGCTATTTACTACACTAATCAGTATGCTTTTCTAGCTTTTACTTAAAGTCTCTACCTTGGGAGATGTTTCAGAACTTCATTTTGAATGCATAATGACTTGATAATAGGTTCTGGTACTAACTGTTCTTTTATCGAGGATTATAAGCAATGTACCCTGTTAATGAGGCTGAGAAAATCTTTTAATTCATTTGTGTTGAGCAATTGCTTGGTAGAATACTTGAATAACACATTAATTTATTGAGTGAAAAATGATAACAATGAAATATAAACCATTTTGTCTTTCTCTTGAAATTTGCTCAATTATGTGATCTACTTATTAGTGATAGGATTAAAATAGGGAAGCAGAGCCTCATTTAATCACTGAAAGTTACAAACAATATGTCGTAAGTTAATTGAAAGTTACGAACTTAAAATAAATGTCAGATTTGTTATTCTAGAGTAGTGATTTTTTTCATTTGTAATCATGAAAATAATTATAACAAACTATAAAAATAATCTTGCCTTAAACAGACACTTTATACAGCTGAAAAACATACTGTTTGTGAAAGAAGTCACACTTAATGGCTTTGTGCAGTGTCATATTTACTTAAAATCTTTTTCTTTCCTATGTCATACCGTACTTTTAGTCTTTTCGTTTTTCTTTTTTTTTAGCCAGTAACCGAGAGTTAGAGTCTTAGTATCTTGAGAATTCATGCTAAGCATTTTGAAAGAGCTGTAAAAGTGTGTGAGAAGTTGACGTAAGAAGCACTAAACACGGGAGGCAAGTTCCAGCCCTTACCTTGAACAGATCAGTCAACACCCGGAGTTTAGTTCTCACCATGGAAATGACTGGATTGGATTTTTCAAAGGAGAGGTTACAGTGTAAGGATGGCCACTCCGTCCAGCCACTCCCTTAAGAAAGTAGTCAGACAGACTTGAAATAAGTTGATACACTGTTTTGAACCTGGAATTGATTTCTTTTGCTTCTTTTGGGAGATTCGAAGAGAAGAATCTTGCCTAGAATGCTGAAATGACTATATATATACAATAGGGAACTGATGAAAGGATTGTAAGGTCCATGGTGCTTAGTTCTTCAAGGTGTCTGCCCAGTGGGAATTTAAAATGGGTGATAAGACTTGGCATTTCTGTTGTTCTCCTCATGTATGTTTCATTTTCTGTGGCTTTTCCTGTGATAGATGCATCTTGATTTGTCTTTTCCTTCTGTCTCTGTGTAAGGAATTTATGTCTGATGGGTTGCATATATAGACATGACATAAAAATCAGGATGTAATAATAACTTTGGCTCAGAAACCTTTTTATAAGTTCATACCAAATTTTGTTGCTATTTAATAAATTATAAGACTTAAAAGACTGAAAAAAAAACCCACGTCTCTACATTTTGTTTTAAGAGCTGACTCTGTTGCATTTGAGTCTGTCTTACTAATTGATGAAGCCAGAATTTATTAGATTGTATATTTACCTCTAACCTCTTTTTTAGTTGTGGTTTCCTTTGAGACTCTGGTGCACATACTAGACATCTGCTTAGAAAACATGGTTACACAAAAGTTTGCATGTAATTTGAGGTTGCCAGCCTCTCCCAACCTAGTGAAGCTCATCCCGTGGACCTCTACATTAAGACTGTTTTGAAGAAGAGCAGCCAGACCTGTGAAACACTGAACATACGTCTTTCTTAAACCAGTTATGTATATTTTCAGTAAATACTTCTTCGGGGTGTATATATAGTGTTGAAAAACCAGAAATCTTCCCAGTCTTCATGGATTATAACTTG